TCCATCCATCCATCCATCCATCCATCCATCCATCCATCCATCCATCCATCCATCCATCCATCCATCCACAAAAAAGCAAAGATGGAAGGAAATGAAATACTTACAGGATGGGCCAACTGTGATGGAATGATGTGAAAAGACAAGAAAAAGAAAAGAGGAAAAGTGAAACAAATGAGATGACGTAATGAAGATGAAGGACAAAGTTCAGTTCAGTCTGAATGATGACATGAAGTTAAAAACTGATCCTGAAAAAATAAACAGCAACAGAAACAGAAGGAGTGATGACCTGATGTGAACCTACAGGTGAAGAAAGAAGGTGGATCTGGACAGAATGCTRCTCTCTGAACACACAACAGGTGTTTTTAACTCATATTATACTAAACTCCCTACAGGAAGACTGAACCAGTCTGGATTCAAGGTCTGAAGGACATTTCTGCATGACTGTTTATTTTGTATCTGTTTGTTTTCCWGTTAGTTTCTGACAGTTGTTGAAGTGTTAGTGGGAGTGAAGCATCATGACCCGTCTGTAGAAGGCAGGTGAGTAGGGCTTCCTGTCTGCGCAAAGTTAAAACAATAAAAAAATAACCTTTTTCATCACAAACAACAGATCTGAGCGTTTCTAAGAAAAGACCTTTTCTCGTGTAATCTCATGTAATTTTGGAGCTTTTTGATCARGCCCATGTTTCATCTCTAAATTCTAGTTTTACTGACTCATTGATAATTAACTCAACTGGTTGCAAAAAACTTCTCCAGACTTTTCATATTTGTGACACTTTWACAGCTGTTTGTCACCTCTGTTCTAATGATTTTTAAAGGGGACATATCCTGCAAAATCCACTTTTTTTAGCTGTTAAATACTTTTGCTTTAAACTTGGAGTCGCTAGGAGGCAGAAAAGTTGAATTTAGTCTTTTTARATTCTGTTTGGGTCAGATTTTTTTAAAAGCATCACATGTCTACTTTAAAGTGTGTTGCTGCCATCAAATTCAAAATTAACCTTTTTTCCTATAAATGCAAGAATTTCTTATATGAAGCATTTTACATGTTTACAATGTTCCACTGTGAATAAATCATGATGTAGGGGTAACCCTGGTGAAATATTCATTTCTATTTTTTGTCTTTGATTTTATTTTTTACACTTATAAGAAGAAAATCATTTTAAAGTGTTTCTATTTTCTTTAAGTGAATAGAACGATATGTTCTATATGTTTTTATTTCATTTAATCTTTTAAAAGAGGTTTTAATC